GTTCAATAAAGACGTTAAAAATAGTCCACACCAAAAAAATCTTAGGAAACAAAAAGCATCTCCCGAAGACCTGGGGGCCAGTGATCTCCTGAGCTTGCGCAGTGTGTTTGGAGCGAAGGGATCCCAGCACAGCATTTGTGAGTCACGCTTCACAAGTTAACGTGGTTCAGCTCGGGGTCTGTGTACACCCTGTGTCGGTGGTGCAGTGGCAGGGCAGCCGGGTGAGCCGCGTGCATCTTGGAGATGAAGCGAGTGGGACGGGAGCTTTCCCTTAAAGACCAGTCATTGTGTCGTTGTGTCCATAGTCAGAGCGGCATCTGTATGGTTGAAAATAGAGCCGGGGTGCATCACTCTCAGTCCCTGGTACAGGGTGTTTTCTCTCCGTGTGAAGGGAAAAAGGAAGCATAGAATTCAGGATAATGACTCTCACATCAACTCAAAGGGAAGAGAATAATTGATCTGTGCTCTCAGCCTGGAAATTCTGAGGCCTGCCTGCCACTGCTCTGTTTTCTGCCTGGAGTAGCATCTCCTCCTCCAAGATCATTAGGGAATTCTTAGCCGCCTCCCCGCCCCCCCATGGAAGGAGTGAAAATTAAAAATATAGAAACATATCCTTTTCAGTATAAATCATTTTTAAAAATTTTAATCTACCTAATTTAAAAAAATCTATTCTCTCTACTTTAAATTGGGCTATGGACTGTTTTGCTTCTCATTGACTTTAGACTTTTGTAATTGAGTAATTTTTTGCTCTTCCCCCATAATCTGAGAGCATTCCTATCCTTTTGTTTTCAGAAGTAATCACAGAAATCCATTATGTCCAGTTGTAGCCACAGGTGATTTTTGAACACTTAAAATGTGGCTAGTGTGAGCAAGAAACTGAGTTTGTAGTCTTATTTAATTTTAATTAATATAGGTTTATTATGTTAATTTTGTAATATAGTTTGTAAAAACGAAGCAGTATATAATATGTTGCCATTAAACATAACTTTATTGCTTTGGTAAGACTACATTTCACTTTGTTAAAAATTTAGTAGCTAACTTGTGATGTGCTCTAAATGTAAAATCAACACTGGATTCTGAAGACGTGGTGTGGGAAAAAGTATAAAATATCTCATTAATATTTTTATATTGATTACATGTTGAAGTGCTGATATTTTGGACATATTGTGTTAAATCTAATATATTGTTAAAATTAATTTATCTTGTTCCTTTTTACTTTTTTTTTTTAAAGCCACTACAAAATTTAAAACTATCTATGAAGCTCTACTTGTATTTCTATGACAGGTTTCTCAACTTTGGCACTACTGACATTAGAGGCTGGATAACTTTTTGTTGTGGAGACCTGTCTTGTTTCCTGTGGGATGTTTAGCAACATCCCTGGCCTAGCTGATGGAGACCAACTTCCCACCTGGTGCAGGAATGCCTTTCTGGGCCGTGACTGAAAGGCATCCTCCAGCATCTGTTTGAAACACTTCCTTGTTGAGACTCTCTTGTCTCCCCTATTTGGAATTAATTATAAGACAGGTTATATTTTATGGTAGCTGTTATGTTAGCTTTATGTTATATTTATATTAAGTTTATGTTAGCTTTACGTTAGGTGTCCTGTAACTTCCACCAAGAGTCGTAGTCCTAATGTCTTCAGTAGCACAAGAGAAACCAAATTCTTTATGAAAGCGATAATGTATACCAAAAGGCCTTATAAATTCCAAAGCTCATTCAACAAATACTTAAACTCTTCCCCTGTGTTAGGCTTGTCCTGGGCAATGAGATACAGCAGTAGATGAAACGTGAGTCCTCCGGAAGCTTATGTACTATACTTGGGGGACGTAGTCAGCAGATACTCAGGGGTGCCCTGCAGTGTGTCACGTGATGATCAGTGCTGTGGAGAAGGACGAAGCAGGCAGAGGGGTGCAGGGACTGCGGTGGGGCTGTGGGTGTATGGCTGCCGTTATTCCTGCCCCCTGGCCCCGTCCTCTAAATGCCCCGACACCTCCGTCACGCCCCCTGTTCCCAGACCTCCAGTTTCTTCTGTTTCTTCTAGACCACACGTTTCCTTCAGCCATTGCTTATAAGAGCTGTTCTCCAGGCACCTTTGCCTGCCCTTTCATGAGTCTTCCTTTTCAAAGTGGCACATGGGTCTGGATCCCAGCTCTGGTCTGACCTTTGCAGAGCTGCCCTTGGGAATGTTCTGGCTCTGTTCTTGTGGCAGCCTCCTCATGCTATCGATTTAGATGCAGTCAGCAGCCCTGTGGTCATTTACTTGGGACCCAGCTCCTGCATGGCCGTGTGGGCTGGTGTTCCTGTTGCTGCTTCTCATCAGCGTGTTACGCACCATGTGGTCTGAAGGAGGGTTTGCTTTTGGCTCTGCGTGTCCTACACAAGAAGACAGCACGGGCTTCGTGATGGCCCTTTCCCTTCACCTCTGCTTTCTGGTTGTGTTCCAGAATAGATAACTCAGATTGCAGATGACCTGGCCTCATTAATGAGTAATTCCATTTTCATAGGACACCACAAAGAGTTATGTGCACAAAAATCAGTACAGGATATTTCTGGGTGGGATTCTTGGCTGGCAACCCTGTGATGCTTTCTAAATTGAGAATAAAAATAAAGCTTGGATGTCTCTTCTGCTTTCTTGCTTCCAAAATATTTCTTGTTTTTCTGCTGTTCTTGCCTTGAATGAGAATAGTAATGTATGCATATGCATTTAATGTAAGCATTTGTTGGGGGGAATTACAGCCCCTTATTCAGTCTTCACAAAACTTATTTTGGACTCATAACTTCCTAGATATATGTTACATTTCTGACTGACCTTATAATAGACGAGATGAAAAATTTAGTTGATACGCGTCTCTGAAACTATATTCTACATGCAAATGGTAGGTAATGGCAAGGATTCTGTCCCTCGATTCAGTTGTTCATGTCACTGAGATTGATAGTCTTGGATTGTAGAGAATGTGATTTAAATACCATCTGTGGCCACTTATCCAGCAGATTGGGTAGATGACAGATCTGCCAAATGAGCAGTGTGTGTTCCTAAAAAAAGGAAAAATCAGAAAGATTTTACCACAGAGGATCTTAAAATATTATTTATTTAAAAACTTAAAATTTTATTAACTTCTATAATGCAAGTTAATCAGTTTATAGAACAGAGATTCTTTAGAAGATAAGAATTTTAATTTAATATTTTCTTTAATATTTCAGTTACATGGGTATATTTCAAACAGCACCTGGAAAACCAGCATCCCTGGCCAGAACCTAAGATGACGAAAAAGAAGGCATTATTATAACGGTGTTTCAGGAAGCGGTTCTGGGCACCTCCTGCCCCTGGTGGTGCCGAGGCCTCAGGATGCCTGAGCTCAGTGTGCGGCTCATCTGAGCCACAGACCCTTTGCCACCGACAGCCGCCCTTCTCTTGGCTGTTTCCTTACCCCTGCGGAGGCTTTGGAAACGCTCCTTCTGTAGAGGTTAATTTGCAAAGGGTTTTCCAGTCCATCCAGAGCCAGCACCTTTGGGAAAGTACTGATATGATACAATTAAGTTCTTAAAAACCTGAAGCTGGGTTCTGTAATGGCATTTTTTTTCCGTTATTTAACAGCTACTAGAGTAATTTATTGAGTATCAGAGTATGATAGGTCTGTCTTGGACCAAACAGCAGGTCAGATATGCCAGCGCATGAAAGGACAGTGTACTTCTGAGGTGGTTTAAACAGCTGGACACCAACGCAGGAGGGTTCGGAGGGTTCGGATCAGAACGGTTCCGAAGACGTGGGGCCGGTTGATCCGCTGTGGAACTTTTCAGGGCCCCAAATAGCAGTGAATAGGGATACAAGCCCAGATTGACCCTATTTTATCCCGTCTGTGCACATTTTTTCCAGTTTTACTGAGAAATAATTGATATACATCACTAAGCTTTAGGTGCACAGCACGATGGCTTGAGTTCATGTATATTACATTTCACAGTATTGTGACATGATTACCCCAGTAGGTTTCGTTAGCATCCATCAGCTCATATAGATAAAATGAAAAGAAAATTTTTTTTTCTCCTGATGATGAGAGCTCTTAGGATTTACTTTCTTAACGACTACAGTATATCTTACTTACGTCTTACAGTGTTGACCATAGTCACGTTGTACATCACATCCCTAGTACTTATTTATCTTATAATTGGAAGTGTGTACCTTGTGACCACCTTCGTCCAATTCCCTTTCTCTTCAACCCCACCTCTGGCAACCACAAATCTGATCTTTTTTCTTTGAGTTTGATGTTGGCTTTTTGTTGTTGTTAGATTCGACGTGTGAGAGCATGTAGTATTTGTCTTTCTCTGTCCGACTTATTTCAGTTAATATAATGCCTTCAAGGTCCATCAGTTTTGTTGCAAATGGTAGGTTTTCCTCCTTTTTATGGCTGAATAATATTCCGTGTGTGTGTGTGTGTGTCAGTCTGTCTGTCTGTCTGAGAGACAGAGAGAGAGAGAGATACACATACCACATCTTCTTAAATGATTGATGTCATACCACCATGTCTTGGCTATTGTAAATAATGCTGCTGTGAACATGGGGGTGCAGACATCTTTTCAAGTTAGTATTTTCATTTCCTTTTAATATATTCCCAGAAGTGGAATTGCCGGATCATATGGGAGTTCAATTTAAATTTTTTGAGGACTATCCATACTGTTTTCTGTAGTGGCTGTACCAGCTTACAATCCCACCAGCAGTGCACAACCTTCCCTTTTCTCCACATTCACGCCAGCATTTGTAATCCTTTGTCTTGCTATTCTAACAAGTGTGAGGTGAGATCTCATTGTGGTTTTAATTTGCATTTCCCTAATGACTGGTGATATTGAGCATCTTTTCATGTACCTGTTGGCCATATGTACATGTTGCACATTTTCATGGTGTCTCTATACATGTATGCCTGTGGCTCTCGGATTATTGACAATAGCTTTTTTCCTAATGCCAGTGGTATTAAAATTGAGTCTTTACTTTTGTTTTCTTTTTTCAGAACAAGCTTGCCCTCCCCTATGTTTTCCAGAAATGACTTCAGCATCTGGAGCATCCTGAGAAAATGTATTGGAATGGTAAATTAACTGTCAGTTCTATAATACTAAGCTGATAGATGTTTCATGCATGTCCTTTAGAAGGGAATCCTAATGTTGGCATAAAAGTGATGCACAACGTTTATGAAAACTTGTGAGAATCAGAAATTAGGAAAAGTCTTATATTAGGTTTTCCTCACAGAACTTGAGCCACTTTTTATGCCATTTAATATGACGTTAATGTGACTTTTCATTGTAAGAAAGTAGAAAAAGAAAATGCTCCACGTTTGTATTTCCCTATAGAGTTACCCAGAAAGGCTCAAAAAGAACAGAGTCCCCACAGTATAGAATATAATTTTACTTACGCTTCTGTGCACAGAGCTGGGTTTTGTACCTTGTAAGTGTGGTGTATGTTAGATATTTGGAATGTGTCCCAGCTTAGTTATCTGTGCAGGTGGATCTGATTTTGTGGGGGAGGGCAACGGGATGGCAAAATTTACTATTATATAAATCCTTAGATTCCCTTTAAAATAGTAGTCCACGTCACCACCCTGACGATAGTCAGGCTAGGATTCTGAGTGAAGTTCTCTTAATTCTTCTAGCATGACCTTTGACCAGCTAGAATGATGAACATTTTAAAACATGTGAGTCCTGAACTGCTAAAGAGTCTGCCTGGAGGTTATGTTTCTTAATTTTGCAATTTAATGTGCAGCCTGAGTACTCCAGGAACTTTCCTTGTACTGGGAAGTATAGTCACTTTCTAAACATTTTCATTCTGATGCTTGAAGTCCTTTTGGCTGCTGGTGTGCCCACGTTGGCATTTTTTAAATGCCCCTCTTCTCTACATGGGGTAATGTCATCTGAGACTTCCTAAATGTAATTTCCAAGGAGCTAATTCCAGAAACATTTATTTTAAACAAATATTTTCTGCTCCTACTGCATGGAGAGAAGGATCCGTAGCTGGATAATGGGCTTTATCCCAGCCTTGCCGCCTCCTGTCTGTGAGACCCTAGGCCAGTTGCCTTGCTTCCCTGAGTAAAGTTAGGAGAGTAATTTGTACCTTATAGCTGTATTGAGACATAAGTAAGATAATTTATATAAAATGTCCAGGACAGACCCTAGTTTAGCTTAATGCTCAACATTATTATCAACAGTTAATCACACTTGAGAATCAGAATACCTGGGCTCTGATTCCATTTTGATTATATTAAGTTTCATCAGGACAAACCAAATGTATCTAGACAAATGTATATATTCTTAAATAAAATAACTATACATATTAGTCTCTTAAGAACTGAAATTTTTAGGACAAAAAATTATATCCTACAGAATTAATATTTTTCAGGCCCTTAGTAAACATATTTATCATTGAGATCCAGTATGTAAATATGTACATATGCATGTGTTTAAAATGAAAACCAGTTCCACAAAAGAATACTCATCCTTACAATAAATGATATTTTCTATTATATTAGATTAATGCTGATTCCAACTCATTAAATTGATTTTGTAACCTGCTAGTGAATGAAACCCACAGTTACTGTAGAATTGGTACCACATTTGTCTAAGGCTGTTGGGTCAACAGAATGGGTATGAAAACTGCAGATGTGGTTTAGTCTTTTTGGCAATCGTGGAAAGTACAGCTTTGTGTATTTCTCTTGCTTGAGTCTGTCACCTACCATCTCCTGTCTCACTGGGTGTCGGATTTAGTGGTATTGTCATGAGTTTGTTCAGGCTAGTGACTGATAATCGTCTAGTTTATGTCTAAAGCAAGCATTCTGTCTAAATGGAAACTATCCATTCTTTTAAAAGACGGGAGATAATGTCATGTTGGCTTCTGCCTGTCATACTTCGAAAGATGCTCTATTTCTCTAGAAGGATGGCTTTACCTTTATTTTTAGGTGTGGAACTGTTTGTGCAAATAAGCAGGCTGAATCATAAACAAAATAAAGCAAATAAAAGCAGACCTGTTTGGGTTGAAAGGGCACCATGGAATGTTTTGAAACATATCTATAGAACTTTCTAAATAAATCACAGAGAAAGAGCTGCAGGGGAAGTAATATTTTGGGAAAGTATTTCCTGCTGAGGTTTTATAAGAGACTAACATTCTAGATGAATAATCATTAATATTTATTAATGTGATTGAAAGGCAGTTAACTGGCATTTGGAAGTTATTGTTCTTGGGGCGCCATGTCTCCCCTCTCATGGGCAACGGAATCAGTCCAAGGGGGTGAGTGTTGGGCACAACAGAGATTTAAAGTGCGGTGTATCTTGAGAGAGAAATGCAAATAATGTCACCAGAATAAAAATTTTTAAATAATTTTTGGTATCGACCCCTCTTATATCTGCCTCCTGCTACCCCCAGCCGTGAGGAAGATAGGTAAAAAATTAGAAGATATTAGTATCCATAGATTTTATTACAGTTAACTTCAAAGTGAAGGCATTTTTTAAACGCCCCCCCCCATTGCATTTTCATGATTCTGTTACACTTAATAATCCAAATACTGGGCTTCCCTGGTGGCACAGTGGTTGAGAGTCCGCCTGCCGAAGCAGGGGACACGGGTTCGTGCCCCGGTCCGGGAAGATCCCACCTGCCGTG